GAGCAAAACATCAAATGTTGCACTCCTGACATTATTAGGTATGCACAGATACTTGACTCTCATTAATGCTGCTTGTGATTTATATAACATTTTAAAGTTTTAAATGGTATATCAGTTATTGTTTTACACTTTGAAAATTGTTTTTTGATTTAGTTGTTATACAGATGTTTAAAATCAATTATTTTTGGTAACACTAATATTTTACTGTTGCACTCCTGACATGGTAAAACATTTTTTTCACAGGCCCGTTTCAGAAGTTGGGGCAACAAAGTCGGGGGGCCCACTTCCAATAATTACCTGACACAAAAAGTGTTGCACTCCTAAAATTTTTAGCATCATTTTTGGGCAAAACATTTTTTGTGACTTGAGATTTAAATAAGATATTTGACAGGTATTCAGACAATGTCAAAAGACATATGCTGAAATGCAGAAATGTATTCCCATTGCCTGTATTTTTAGTGCAGGTTGATCAATATGTGTCTGGTCATTTTTTTTTTCAATTCACCCATACATAATACAATCTAACTTAACATGGTCTGTAACTCTGTATATTTTTCTGTTCATTTTTATTTTCTCCCCCTTAGCCAAAATGATGATGTTTCTGATATTTAAGATTACTAAACCTTAGATCTCCGTGGAATAATTGAATTCAAATCAGTTGAAATGTACCTTGGCAACATCAACAAATCTTAAGTTAAGATAAACTGCCTTCAGTGAAGTTAGGTTTTGGCCGAAAACAAAAACAATTTTTATGTAATTACATAAATGACAATTATTTACAGTGACGATCAAATCCAATAAAAAATTATAAAAATTACTGAACATTAACAAATTTTGACCACTCTCAAAACGGTTTCTACTTTCTATAAACAAAAGTTTGTCTTCAGCAAAACTTTAAGGATTAAAAAAAAAACCCACCATAGTGACAGAAAGGGTTGCCTGAATAACCGAATATAAATATGAGTACCGAATATAAATATGAGTTAAAAAAATTAGATTTTAATCATACTAAGCATTTTTATATAACTTTTCTATATTAAGAGCAATGAACACGTTAGAACAAATAGTTGAATATGTAAATATAATTTGTGGACATATCACGTATACCTTCAAAATACATCTCTCTCTCTCTCTCTCTCTCTCTCTCTCTCTCTCTCTCTGTGGGTGTGTGTGGGAGTGCGTTTGTGGGTGTCTAACACTGTCTTGAAAGTTATAATTAAAATATTACTCATTAGAAATTTGTATTCCTCAACTAACAGAAAAATGCTTAAAGTCATTGCTATTTTTAAATAGAGGAGACATACTAACAAAGACTTTATGTTAATTTAATCGTATTTCGAATGATTCAATTCTTTTCAAAACTCATAAATTTGATACTTCCTATACAAGATGGTGACAGAAGATTTAAATAGGCATCGACATTAATAGCGAGCGTATCTTACAAATGGATTATGAATATGTGCGATCATTTTATGAAAATGTGCAGTCTCATAAAATATGGATTTTGACTAAACATGACAAAAAAAAAAAAAAAAAAAAAAAAAAAAAAAAAAAAAAAATCTGTCATGATGTCTTGAAACCTAAGTATTCTCAAAACTATATTACGTTACTCAAAAATTGTTAAAGTCATTTAAAAAGTGCACAATGTTTTTCAGTGAACTTAATGTTATGAACAACATTAGCCATGCAGATATGTTGAATTCCAATGCTTTTATATTGTTTTTAAATTAAGAATGATTTTAAATTCATTTTAGGAGCTGAAATCGTTCTTGAAATAGATACGGAAATTACACACTGAACTTAAAACACCCGCACGAGAAGAAGTATTACTCTCTTTGTAACTATATGATTGTGTAAAATGTACAGATAAATTAAAGATAAAGCAACTCCGTTTAATTTGGAGAAAAATTAATTATACATTTCAATATTTTGATCAAAATTCATTTTAAAAACTTTAAATACACCTCGATCAGAAATTTTAATAAATTTGAATTTCTTTTTTTCCAGAAGATTTCATTAAAAACTACAGTTTATTCATTTTGCACAACCTTCCACATATAAAGTTCTTAATGAATTTTATTTTGCGGAAACTTGGTCTGTGCCAGTGTGAAAAATGAAATGCAGACATAACAGAAGTCACTGCCGGTGAGTGCCTGTTCATAGAGGGAAAAAACCCAGAGTATGCATATATATATATATATATATATATATATATATATATATATATATATATATATATATATATATATATATATATATATATATATATATATATATATATATATATACAGCAATATACTCTTATCACCTGCATATTGGATGTATATCTCTCAGTTGATTCGATACGTAAGAGCATGCTCTACGTATGAACAATTGCTAAAAACGAGGTAAGTCATTGACAAACAAGTTGATGAGACAAGGATATCAACAGCCTTGTTTAAAGTCATCATTTCGTAAGTTCTATGGTCGATACAATGACCTTGTCAGCAAATACAGTTTATCATTAAGTAATATGCGGACTGACGTTTTTCATACTAATTGTTAGGCCATTATGTACACACTGAATTGTCGACGTATTTTTCCGTTATATCCCGATCTTGACAAGGAGCACACGGCGGGTGTGACAGGTCGGCAGGGGATGCTCACTCCTCCATGGCACCTGATCCCACCTCTGATGTTTTTGGAGGTCCGTGTTTGCTCTGCTCCGGATTTGTATTGTTTTAATGGACTTTGAGCTTGAATACTGGTCGTTTTATCCATATTTCATGAAAAAAAAAAACTTCATCAGTTAAATATGTCTGTACGTTATTCACAAGACAAAATTGGATCCAGTGAGAAAATACGACTTAGAGTTGTACATGTATTATGATGTTAAAGTATCACGAAGGTACATTTAGTAAAAGATATGCCTAGGTCTGCACAAAAAAATCAATGGTTGCCAGTAAATATTGTGTTCATTATGATTAAGTATTAGATCATTTTGAGGCATTCTTTTTGCCTGCGTTACGCTTTGAGAAAACGAGAAAAGATACTGGGCTTTGCATATCAGAGGAAATTATACCCTTAACTCTTTCCTGATACCAATCTGGTTTCTCGAAACAAATACATGTAGTGGTGTATCGGTGTTATCAATGTTTATCGAATTTTATGTAATGGATAGTAAATATCAATGCAGAATGAAATTATTTAATTTTTACAATGGTATTTACAAATATAACACGAGTATCGTTTGGCTATTGTGTATTCGCCATCAACCTTTGTCATTCAATATTCTAATGCTGTTCACCTAAAATAGACCCGTTATAGACTTCATCTATCAGAAAATTTAATCTAAATTATAACTTCAAACAATTTGTTTGATATTTTGTACATGAAGATGTCTGTTTTTATGAAAACTATTTCATTGATGATTTGAATTCTCATCACCTTAAAAACAAGTTCTCTGTAATTATTAGAAGGTAAATTAAACATCTGGATTATTAGTCATAAGCTTATAATCCCTCGTACATCTTGCAAATATTTTTTTAAAAATTTTCTTGTAAAAAATAATGCACCTTTAAATTATTGTAGCTTTTATTTGTAACAAAAATATTAAACAATGTTCAAATTATTCCATAAAAACTGCCTTCAGCACAAAATCTTGACATTTGTATTGCAATTGATATGTGGATGAAAATAAAGCTTTTTCGATCCTGAATCACAGAAGAAGTTACAAAAATTGAAATTACGTAACTCGGATAATAAAATTTCATGTCTCGAATCTCTCAGACATAACGACAAGTAAAGGCGTGGAAAAAGTTAGCATAGACTATCACCCGTGACGACCTCCCTGGCTAAATAACGAGTAAGATGTGTCAATCCCCTGAAAGTACACTTTATGAGCACCGAATTTTCTGCCTTTCATGCAAGTCACCATGCTGCAAACCATTTAATATTCTTTCTTTTTATTGGAAATCTTTCCGTTAAAACTTAAGTACACGTGTACGATGTTCCACTGGAGTACAATTTTAATGTTATTCATGTTACGTTCTAAACATTTATCTTACTTTGAAGTCTTAAAATCAAACTCGTTTTACCGTCTGATGGTTTCAGAAAAGGACACACTAGGATGTTAGTCCTGTGCACAGTGAATCTACAAAATTGTGTTCATTTGTCTTAACATAATATTGCAATATTATCGTAATACTCGTTTAGGACAATTACAAAATCAATACGACAACAACAACATCAAAGGTTTTCATTACAAGACACAATAGCAATGGCTAGATCAGCTACTTACAAACGTGAGTTATATCTGTTAAAACTGTAGATGTGAAAATCAATTTAGAATATTTGCATACATTAACATTAAAAAAACCCACAAACTTTAACATAATCATTCAATTTTATACAAGAAACACATAACGTTTTCAGTGACTATCAGTAATTACGTGAAATTTAACAGGAAAGGCCATCATCAATTTTTTCTGAGAGGTCATAATGTCGCTTTCAGAATTGCATGCACATTTCTAGATCACATTTGACAGCATTTTTCGACAAACTTTTCATATCAGCCTAGATAATCAGCTTGATATGTTACCTTTTTTTAAAGAGAGGTACACCTGCATGTAACATTACAAGTCACCTTTCATCAACGTAATGCTCCATGTCTCCTCGACAAAAAGACGCACGACAAGTAACGTTGAAGCACGGAACAACCTGCTTTACACCTACAGATTACATACGATTGATGCACTGCAATTTATTTTCAGAGAGTACAAAGCAATCAAGTGGTTGATCTTGTGCTCATGGATTGAAAAAGGAGTGTGTCAACGGAGAATCAGATGTACATCTTCATCAAGTGTTATTTTTAAAGTCTTTTTTAAAATATCAAAATGACTGAAAAGACATTTTAGTGTCAGTGCGTCCTTGTTGAAAAAATCAAAATGTTAATGAAAAAAAAAAATAACGAAACAAATAACTGCAAAACGTGCTCCCGTAGACCTCGGTGTAATTTTGTCCTATTCTGGTAAGGTTTCTTGACTGAAATTGAACGAACTTCCTCGCATTCTCCGTCTGCCATGCTTTTGGTGATCCATCGAAAAAATAACTAAGAAATCTGAAATACTTGGTCTAATTTCAGCATTATTGTGCAAACTGCGCATAATCAAATCTTTGGTCATTTCATCAATCTTCACCAAACTTTGCTCGAGATTCAACATAGAGGTAGCGTCAACTCCAAGAATGAACTCCGAAAGCTTCATCGACCTTTGAACCTCGAAAGCTCGAAGGATTAAATTTAACTCAAACATAAATAAGCCAAAGGAGTACACATCATCTTTTGCCGTGTATGTCTCTCCTCTAAGGACGTCCTTAGAGAGGTACACAAACTCCTGAGCTTGAACGTGTTCCTTGTCGAGTGGCAGCATGGCTTTTCTAGGTAGACAAGCCCAGCTAAGTTTTACTTTTCCCTATCAAAAGTAAAAAGACAGTTAAAGAGTACTACGTACTTTAATGTGAGATTACACTTGTATTTTTCAGACACTCTCAATTGCAACATCTCTTTATATTTTAAATTATTTAAAATAAAATCAATTTAAGCAAATCGGGACCAAATTAAGACCAAAAGTTGCAAGTGTTTCTACATGTATTAAATTAGTAGATATAAAAAGCTTGGAAAAGTCGTTTGCATGCAGAATGTAAATTGCCCGGATGTTTGAAGTGATTTTTTTTCAAGAAATTTTATTTACATTCGCGAGTTTCTCCCTTGAAACTGTAACTGTATTAGATGTAAGTTCCATATGAACCATATCTCTTTCATGTAAGTAGATCAATCCCTCAACCACTTCATAAATTATCCTCTTGGCATGCACATCTCTTTCTAAAGGATTGTGCTTAAGGTAATCATTGACAGATGTCAGATGACCGTCATATATAAGGGCTGGAATCGGTGCATCCGAATGTGAAATCCCGAGAAATTCAGCAACATGTTGATTTTGTAAGGACCTGCATTTAAAACAAAATACAACTTCAAAAATGTATGCTTTTGTGTTTAAAGGCAATTCATATTTTTGTGACACAAGATTATTTGATGATCTATAGACCATAGGATATTGGGAGGTAAGCCATGCCAAAGAACGGCGATTTAAAAAATATCATTTTGTCTTTCTTCACCAAGCAAACAAGTTCGTGATCTTAAAGTTTCTGTGCATTGGTACGTAGTTTTATCATTATCTTTAACACTCATGGTATATTTAAAAATGCTAATAAGTTTAGGGAATGTTTACCTCAACCTAGCTATCTCTGAGTGCACTTCAGTCACCCCTGAGCTTGGAAGGTACACACGGATAAAAATACTATGCTGTTCTCCATCCTTATTCATATGGTATCCGTTCTGAAATCCAGTCCAAAGACCACGTTCTAGTTCTTCTCCAGGTTCTTTTACAATTGTTGCAGAGCTGACGGTTCTTGCCACATCAGATGACTTGAAAGATTTATGACCAGTTTTACAGGAGTGATCTTTCACACGAAGCTCATTCACATTGTAATCTGCAACAAAAATGTACCCTATCCCGTATTCTCTCAACTTCTCTCGCAGTTTCTCGAAGTCTGTCATCATCTTAATGTAAGTCTCGCGAGATTCAATGGAATCAGACCGACAGTGGATTATATGATCCAGAGCCTCTTGATTTGCTTTTATGACGGACGGAACTTTCATTTCTAGTATCTGCAGAAATTGACATGGTCTTTCTAACAATGCTTGAATAAAATCAAACAAAATGTCATTTTTTTCGTCCACGCACATCTTCAAAAACCTTTCAGATTTCTTGCGAGCTATCTTAGTCGGATGATCCTTGAATGCCTGCATCTTTCTGCTAACAACCACCGAATCATAGATAATTGATCCGCGAAACTTCATTTTGAAATTACGGGCTATATTCTTGATTGGAGAGATGTATCTTGCAAGGACAGATACATTCAAAGGCATCAATTCTTCCTCCGCGCTTTGTGAGGAAGTAGAAGATAAGTATACATTCATACTACTTAAACTTAGTGTAGACATTCTTCTGAGAGTGAGTTTACTTTTCCTATGACCAAGGGTTGAACGTAAGTCTTCATTATCATTGGAGCTCCTTGATATGCTTATGTCTTGTTCAATCATCCCGATTTGGTTTTCCAGTCCACGAAATTCCTCCTTGACCTCTTGATAAAGTTCATCTTCAAGCCCTTTAACCCAATTTTTCTCTTCATCCCATTCCTTCAGCTCGAGAGAAATTCGATCTGCTGTAATGTCTTCAATTTGTTCTTTGATCTCCTCCCAAGATTCTGATTTTGGTATTTCTGATTCAATCCAATTAGTGATTCGCGATCGTGTTTGGGGTAATTGTAAATATTCGCGATAGTTTTTGCAAATCTCCGTCGCAGTTTCATCTACTTTTGATCTGAGATTGGTCACAATGGAGTTGGAATTGTTTTTCAAAATTTCTAATTTTTGAGATAGTTCTTGAATCTTTTCATTCCCCAGATTTTCATCGCTGTTTACTTGTCTGACTATTGTCTTACTGTGATGAATCCCTCTTGTTAATAATCTGTCTATCCACCTGAAAATGTTTTAAACTTTTGCCATAAATAACGATTTTTTTGACATTCCATAGAACCTAACGAAAGACAAATTTCAGTGTTATACTATGTTTAAAATATTGCATAATTTAGTTTGATTATTACTCAGTGTATAGTAAATTGTATACAGGTTGACCGATTGGTTCCTTCATCTGGCCATATACTGATAAATATAAAAACTGCAGTTGCCACAAGAACTATTTTTGTAATCATTTCTCCACTGCTTAGTAATTATATGTAAATAAAGTTTTATAGCTTATTTGAAGCACTTATTTTTTCCTGCATCGATGAAATAAAAATCTCAACTTAATGATATTAAAATAATACTAGTAATAGCTTAACACATCATATAGTAAAAGTAGAGTACTGAAAGTTATTACGTTTATCTTTCAGATACTGCTATGTTTATGAGCAAAATCAGATATCAATGAATAGTGGGTGAGTTTTTACCCACTGATGAAGTAATTTTAATTTGCAAGAAGTTGGTAAATGTATTTAGTTCCTTTTTAATACTTACTTAAATGTTGAGTGAATTCTTCTTTCCATCGCTTTAGAGTGCAGTTCTTGAATTGCCATCAACAATTTCATATAATCGTCTGTTATAAATTTCCTGCTGACGGAGAGCTCTCTATTTGCTTTCTTTGCAGAAAATCGCAAAACTTGTGACCGTGAGAGATTTGTCCAGTATTTATGGAGACGTGAGCATGCGTAGTCAAACACCTTTGGCTGTTCTTCTTTGTTTACAAGATCCCAAAGGTTGCAAATGAAGATGGCACAACTGGGATCAAACGGCAAGCCTGACTGGTTTGAGATCTTTTTCTGATTTTCCAAAATAAGGCGTAAGAGAGCACCCAGCTTTTGAAACAAATACATGTTAAATTTCAATTGCTTTGGAAAACATCATTTGATTTATTGTGAACTCATATATGTTAAGAAACTTTTTTTCACTTTGATTTTTGTTTTCAAAAATAAAACCGATTTACCAATCATATTTTGCAGTATGAACATCAATGAACATAATAAAAGTTACCTTATCCTCATCAACACCTCCTGCGCTGTCTGATTTGATGAGGTAAATAAATCCCATAATTTCATTGGTGGAAACAAAGTTTCCAATCACAGAATCCATAACCTCACTTTCACCGATGCCTGGAGAATCCACAATTACTAATCCGCACTACAGAGAAGATAATATTTGGAATAGAAAAAAAGCTAAATTTGTTGCAAAAATATTAGTCTTAGATATCAGTATAACTTTGTCTTTCAATGAAAATAAGAAAGTAAAGGAAACAGTATTATAATAATTTAATCTGTATATAAGTTTCATGGAAAAATTGTACACAAACCCGAAGAATATTTGCTGATATATACACTTGAACCTCTTTGACATCAGAACAACGTTCTCGATTATCTATGTCCTTCTCAAACAAAATCCCTTTAAGTATCTCACGGAGTGATTTAACGTCACAATTTCTTATGACGTAATCTTCTTTATCGCCATTGTAAATTATGCGAGCACCATTTTTTTCTGCATAGGAAATTCGGGTTATAACAGAACTACATGGAAGGGAATGGGTAGGTAGTAAATTTTCTTCTAACAAAAGGTTTAGCACTGTGGACTTTCCAGCTCCGGTCTCACCTTGAAAATTTGATGTGAAAAGATTTGATTATTTATTTAATTACTGATAATACTGAGATATGGTATTTTTAAGGACGATGATGTTATCATGCTTTTCTGAGATAGGTGTATGACTCGCAAAAATTGCATGCTGATCTGAAAAATGTAGGAATATTGAAATCAACATCAATATGACATTCTTAGAGTGGAATAAGTTTTCTCAATCGACAAATATAGCCAAAACGTTCAACATATACGATAATAATAATAAAGATTTCAACATTGTTAGTTTTTCATTTGGTTCATGAAGAAACATCATATTTACCGGAAACCACCACCACGCATTCTCCTTTCTCAACCAATCGTTTTCTCTTTTGTATATCCTCGCTGAGGTCATTAATTATGCCCTCAGTCTTAAGAAACCTTTCTATTGCTTGCGTTCCTTTATTTCCTGTTCCATCGGCAGTTTCTTTGTGATTTTGGAATGTATCCTGACAAATGTTTAGCATTTCAACCAATCTGTTTCGCTTCTGTAAATTTTCCCTTTGGACTCCTTGCATTGCTTTTTCAATCTAATATGGAGATGTAAATTTAAGACCTTACAGTTGCTGTACTTAGCAAAAAAGTATGTGCCTGCAAATGTCCTAAGAAAAAAAGTATAATTTTCTATAGAGGTTCTTGATAGCCATATCGTAATACTATTGAAATACATGTATATATGATATATAAAAAGATAAATTCGTAGATTGATGTTAAATCCAGATCATATGGAGCTAAAAGATGAGCTGCCTTCTTTTGACCGTACAGAAAATATCCTTTGCAAAATAATGTTATATTGGTGACCTTTTCTGATTACGTTTGGGTGTGTGTCAACAACTTGGATACCCAATACATGTATTTATTTAAAAAAAAAGGAATATAACAGAACAAAGAAGCAGGTAGACAGACAAAACAATATGCCCCAGATCCTAGATCGAATAAGCCTCAAAACATCTAGAAATAACAGATGAAATATCTAAGGTCTTTAAATGCTAGACGGCGGCATGCAGTGATACCGAAATTAAAGACTATGCAAATTTGTGTTCAGAATTTTAAATTTCTGGCCTATAATCAAAGTGTTTCATGTTAAAGTATTATGCAATGTAAAAGACAATGTTGTAATTAATGGTGACTGATTTCGCAATTACTTATTTAAAACCGCTTCGGCAGAAAATTTTGTATTGATTAGCACCATGGTTTAAAGTGACTTTACCGATCTTTATTGAAGCAAGCTTGTATTTCAGTCGGCCTTGAAACTACTGAATAATAAAAATCAAATGAAGGTTCTTCAAGCTTGAATGATTATTGCTCTGTCAGCTCTTCTACCGGGAAGAATGAAATTTGAAGAAAGCATTGTAAAATAAGAAGGATTTGGATTAAAATTTTTCCACCCACATAGGAATTTTACATACTAGAACTTGCATTAAATTGTTTTCTAACAAAAACTGCTATTAGCTAAGGATGGTTTTTTGTCATAAGATATGAATAGAAATTCCACAGGATCGAGTGAACAGCAGATATGTAATTATAGAGTACACGTAAACCTCAAAAAGTAAGGGAATTCCCCTTGTTGGATAAAGATCATGACTTAGCAACAATCAGCGACTAACTGGTGATTGACACTTTAAAAAAAAACCAAAACTTTCACTGCAAGAATTGGCATAAATTCAAATCGTTATTTGCAAAAAACCAGAAAGTAAATTTAAGACTGTTAATCAAACAAATAAGATATCGTTTTACCAATGACTGTGTATTGAACTCTTAATGATTTCATTAATCATAAACAGAAAATATTAGATTCAAAAGTAAGGATCGTTTCCATATTCATTACATGCACTATAGTATATAATTTAATATATCTTCGAATTGAGATTTTCTTATTAAGCTTTAACTAAGCAGTATGAAATTAATTTCTTTATATGGACCCAAAATATCACATTCACAGATAGATAGTTTATGATTGGCTGAAAATTATTTTGTATCTTTAATTTATATTTCACCATTTGTTTGAAGTCACCATATTCATCCATTCGTAGTGCCATTAACAGTCTCTCCCTTATTTCTTCTATGGTGACTAAGCCAGCTAGATCCACGCCTAATAGATCTCCCAAATCGAATAATGTATCCAGGTCATCTGCATTCTTGACGTCATCTTCACTGACATTAAATACGTCATCATTATCTGTCATCGTGTTATTTGTGTCGTTCCTGCAATTGAAAGTAGTTCTTCAAAGAAGGTGTTCGTTTTGTCTATTATTAATTTCCATTCTGATTTTGAAAATTATTTTACGATAATTATCATGTAATTATTTTCGATTTCAGATTAAAAAAATTATAAACGACATTACTGGCACTAATTTCATCAGAGTTTTTTTTTAAATCAAACTAAGCATATGTTCGATTTTTTCATCTATGATATTTACTAAAGAACGAATAACTCAGGATTTTCTTTACAACCAAAATTGAGATCATACTGTTTAGAACAAGATTCACTTTCACATTTTTTCATCCAACTCTCTGATTTTTAGGTTCAAAGAAAGGGTCTGAAACATTTTGAAAATATTTCTTATTTCTTTTTGAAGTAAGGGTTTATTTCAAGAATATTTCGAAAATATTTCTATTGATTCAAAATTACCTACAAAAATAATGATAAAGCTGTCAAAATCAAATTTTAGCTTTACAAACGAGTTATTCTACACTCGCCCCGAGGAGTAACATACCTGATTTCATAAAGTGCTGTGAAACATCCGAGTGTCTCAATTAATTGTCTTTTGTCTGATTTAAAGGACAGTTGCAAAATTTTACCCAATGAACCAACATGAACGAATCTTTTTGACAATCGATATAATCAGACCTTTCTCGTTTTTTGTACCAATGGAGCGAATCTTTCTGACAATATATTCTCCTTTTTGTCGCACATTGTGATCTTTAGTGCATGGTAGCGTAAATCTTCAACCAGGCAATATTTCATGTAAAGAAAATAAGTAGCATTAAATGTTTAAGAAACCATTATGTTTTTTAGTATATGCGAATAGTTTGATTTCATTGCTGATCATTTAAAACACATCTTTATACATTAAATTTTTGTCCGTATAATTTGTTGCAAAACAAATTATGGGAAAGGAAATTGTATTTTTGATATGATGCAATAAATAGAGAATATTCAATGTTTTGTATAGCTGGATATGGAACTTATTTCACGAGTGGGACAGGTTATATATATATATATATATATATATATATATATATATATATATATATATATATATATATATATATATATATATATATATATATATATATATATATATATATATTCATGAGTGCGAAGCATATATCAAATAATCCTGTCTCATGAGTGAAATAAATTTTATATCCATCTAAAACATTAAATTTACTGTATATTACGTTTTTCTTTGATTTTCCCTTTACCTCTATCTTTTCATAGCTGTCTGATAGGCTGTGACGTCATAGTTGAGCGTTGAGACGTCACGGCTTAGCAATTTAGTGAGATTGAAAACATTGAAAACATTGATATTAACAACATATTTGGAGAATATATTGAGTCTCTTCGTCTTATTACAAGCCAGGGTTTTTATTATTATTATTATTATTATTATTATTATTATTATTTTTACATTCTTCATGAAGGGAAGGAAAGAGATAAGTTTTGTTTAAATTCAGATATTGCTCACACTCTGACAGAATATCACTTTGATATTCTTTCACACTGTGACAGAATATCATTTTTATTCAATAAATAGATTTCATTTTTTCATTGTTGAAAATAAAAAAAAAATTACAGTTCAAAAATAAAAAAAAATATTTTGCCTATAAATATTGTAAATCCGCATAAATATAAATAAAGTGCAATATCTTTTGGCAAACTAGTTTTTTTAAAACCCTTTTATTCGTTAGATTTATCCCCAAGAAATTTAGAATTTTCCGAAGGATCGATCTCCTAAACAGTGGCGATACAGAAAAACTTGTAATCCAAAAGTTATTTCTTTTTAAGTAGTTTGTTGCAGATTTATAATATTTATAGCTAAATAAAAAGAGGATATTCAATGTTTTGTATAGTTGGATATGGAATTTATTTCAGGACAGGATTTTTTTTTTTTTGATATTTTCACAAGTATATAAAAATTCCATATCCAACTACAAAATATGAATTTTCTGTTAATGACATTTTTCTTTTATTTTCTCTTTGCCTGTGTCTTTCTGTAACACAGCACTCTATATACATAGAGGGTGGGTCGTTAATGTGGGTAGCACGTGACCTGTGTGTACATATTGGTAGCACAGTGTCAAAGGCTATGACGTCAGAGTTGATCGGTTGAGATAGCGAATGTGAGATTGAAAACCTTTTAAACACTGATTTCAGCAGCATATTTTGAGAATCTTTAAAAATTGTAGTCTCTGTCAGGATGGTTAATTTACGCTTTCTATTTTATAATATGGAGTTTTGCTACACCTCTGATATTCTGTCATACTATGACAGAATATCACTTTGATATCCTTTCACAAGTACTCTGAAGTTGATCTTAAGAGATGCTTGAGTTTCTGATTGACTTCCAACAATCTGTTCGAATTTCAATGGATACCAATTGCGCCCCGTTATTAGTAAACCTATTTTGGTATTCATATGAAGCAGCATTTATTCAAAATCTTATACATGAGAAAAAGAAATCTCTTGCTGTGGCCTTCAACTAGACATTTAGATATATCGACGACGTACTGTCAATTAACAATATTTATTTCCATTCATATGTCAACACGATATGTCCCAGTGAGCTTGAAATAAAAGATACCACAGAGCTTGACACATCTGTTTCATATTTGGATATTTTAATAAAAAAGACGCTAATGGTAATCTAACAACAAAGCTTTATGATAAACGTGATGACTACTTTTCAATCGTCAACTTCCCTTACGTATGCAGCAATATACTATTACCACCTGCATATGGGGTGTATGTCTCTCAGTTGATTCGATACGCAAGAGCATGCTCTACGTATGAACGATTTCTAAAACGAGGTAAGTTATTGACAAACAAGTTGATGAAACAAGAATACCTACAGTCTCGTTTAAAGCCATCATTTTGTTAGTTCTATGGCCGATACAATATTTATCAATCTATCAGTCTATCAATGAGTCATATGCTGACATTTTTCAGACTAATGTTAGACCATGGATTGTCGAGGGATTTTCCCGTTATTTCCCGATCCTGAAAAGGAGTACATGGCGAGTGTGACAGGTCGGCCGGGGATGCTCACTCCTCCATGGTACCTGATCACACTTCTGATGTTTTTGGAGGGTCTCCTTTGCTCTGCTCCCGATTTGTATTGTTATAAAGGACTTTTAGCTTGAATACTGTTCGTTATCTCAATATTTCATTTTATTCAATTAATAAATTACAGTATTTCACTGTTGAAAATGTAATAAAAAAAATCTGCCTTTTTTTGCACTGTAAATTTTTATATCCCAGTTAGGAAAATATATCACAAACGGACTATGATATCCAATTTGGGAGATTGGCCCTAACCCGTTAGACTGTCCTATTAGGTTTTTCGGACTTGTTTTCTACACACTTGCAGATTTTCGGTATGTGTCTACCTTAATGAGTTACAGATAAAGTTTAATGTCGTTTTGCTTCAACAGTTCGATGACTTTCGACAAATTACGACTTTTTAAAAATTCTTAAAGGGAAACCAAAGTGAACAAGTGTGGGTTGAGGCCAGCACTGCTTATCAAAATATTCTCAAAATATGTTTAAATTTAAAATATTAAATTTGCGCAGAAGTCCTGTTTGCTAAGAACTAAATATTTAGTTTTGACAAGGAATCTTATAACAATCTATGGGAATCCTTCTATAGCCTTTGTTTTTATACAAAAATTGGAATGTTCACTTGAAACAAGGTCACTGAAAAACACATCAATCAACTGTAAACATTGCCACGGTGTTTAGAGATAAATAGCACGTAAGAGTATATATCTGTTCTTGAGGTGACAGACCGAACATAGTAGGAAAACTGTGTTATTGTGTCTTATTCTTTTAATAATCTTTTATTTTTGAAAACAACAATTGAATTCAATAAAATATGAAAGTATTTTAACAGAATAATGAATAATATAGTTTGTAAGAAATAAGTACTGATACAGAAAACACATACACAAATATGCTCAAGATAGAGGCATCACTGAAGATATATACATGTACATATAGTATTTTTCTTTCCTTGTTTCAGAATAAGGTAATATTTTCATCAAGAAAAACTTTTTGTGAATAGAAATTAAGACCTTTGTGTTACAGTATTTCACATTAAATAGATTCTTCATTTGTAACCTCTTTTGAATATTTACCATGATGAAAAAAACATGATAATAATGTGAGTCTCATATTCGTTACAAGTACATTTTAGAAATTAAACGATTCGAATTCAGATCTATTGCTTTGTGAAAGTCCAGTGATTATAATCCACATCCAATCAAAATGAGCAAAACTATATAATTACAAACATGTAAAAACTTCCTTAAAAAGCTATATAGAAAAGTTATATGAAATATTGAATACCATAATTATATAATTAAATATCGAAAATAAGTGAGACACTTTATTCTTAGGAAAACACAGAAAAAATCCCCACACAATTTAAATTGCAAACTGAACTGAATACTTAGTCTGTCTAAGAAACACTGTATTCGGTACGACCATCTGTATAAAATGATAGTGATAGTCGTTTCCTGAAATAGCATAATATTCATGACTATTAGGACAATTTGAGATAGAGCTACTCATCTACGGTATATCACATTTTGTTTCTGAGGTACAGGCTTCGACTCTTCATCTACTCTCTGTAAGATATCAACAATCGGAAACTTTACGTTCAGAAACTCTCCCACGCGAGGACGGTCGTCTGCTTTCCCAATACACTTTGTCACCAATGCGCTGATGTCCTCTGACTGGCCTTGTAAAACTTCATCCACCACCAACATTTCTCGCGGCTTCACTCCCCTTGCAAATTGGTCTAGGGACCATTCGCGATACTCTTTGTAGGGTTTCTTTCTGAAAATTAGCTCAAAAGCTAGAAGTCCAGCGGCATACGAATCATCACATGCAAGGTACGTTTCACCATTAAGCACTTCCGGGGAAAGGAACACGAAGTGCGACACTTGAATGGATTCGCGTTCCATTGGAAGGATGGCCTTACGTGGAAGACATGCCCCTGTTAGTTTTACCATTCCTGTTGCTTGTTCAACCTTTTGAAAAGGAAATGTATGAAGAGTTAAGTTGTAAAATCTAAATCATTTCAGCGAGTGTTTCCGAGAGTCAACTGTGCTTTGTGCCTATTAATTAAAATTATACACGAGAGAAAAGTTGAGTACATGTAAATCATACATACCGTAACAGTGTGCGTGTTTAGCTCCATATGGACTAAATTTCGTCGATGAAGATATTCTAATCCTTTTACAGTTTCTTGAAAGATTTTCACCCTTTCTTTGGCTGTATCTTTACTTTTGCTTTTAAAATACTCATGAATTGTCTTCATTCGATCCTTGTAGATGAGTGTTGGAAATCCAGCATTTACTCGATGAAGACCAAGAAATTCAGCAACATGATTGTGCTTCAAAAACCTGTTTTGAAGTTCAAAAGTTAAATTTTTCATCAATTACATATACCATGATTAAACACATAACCGAAAGAAAATTGAAAATTTGAAATGTGCTTTATTAATACCTGAGTTTGGAAACTTCAGCTGTTATGTTGGTCACTCCAGATGACATCATATAAATTCTGATAAACACTCGAATTTCCTCTGCACTTTTCTCTTTTCGAATGCTCCCATTCTGTAGAATTGTCCACAGAGCCCTCGTTTCGCCTGTCTGGGAAGTGTTACTGTCTTTAGAGCTGTTGTCTATAAAATTTGAAATGCGGATAGACTTTTCTCCAGTACTGTTACCACTGTTAGAAATCCGTATATCTGCATTTCGAAAATCATCGACAAAGATTTCTCCTTCACCGTACTCAGTGAGTTGATGTTTTAGATCTTCTAAGCCAGTCATCATCTCTTCATATAATTCCCTCGAAACTTTTGTATCCCTCCTACATCGCAATATATGCATCATGACCTTTCTATCAGACTCAATAATAGCAGGGATTTTACATTGGATGTCAGCAAGTTTGTCTCTGCTCTGAACTAGCAACGCCTCGACAAAGTTACGAAGGAAATTATTTCCATAACTCGTATTTAATAAGTAGTTGTAATAACGTTCCGATTTTTGTCGAGCAACTTTTGTTCGATTTTTCTCATAATCACATAAACGATTTTTGTTGCCGACAATATTTTGCATGGCATTTCCGAGCGGAGAGAGAATTTGAGCGATGAATGGTACTGTTAAATGGTTTTCTGTGTCCTCTGTGTATACCATGACACTATGCAAAGTTGATCGACGAGAAGGACCGCTTAGAGATTGTCGTTTACGCAGAGTCCCAAACTGAGACTGTGCTGTATCATCACTGGTGATAGATCTCGTGTCTGAGTTCAAATCATCATCTACATCAGCCAATTCTTCTTGTAATAAATTCAACTTGAGGTGGATCTCAGTCATAATTGTTCTTTCGATTTCTCGGATGTGGCCTTGTTCCTCCTCCCATCTAACAAGCTCTTTTGATATCCTCTGAGAAGTCCTCTCGTAAATTTCCATTTTGATTTCTGTCCAAGTCGGAAACTCGTTTGGGCTAGGTGTTTCGGCCAATGTCCAGTTGACGATTTGAGTTTTTGAAGCTAACGTCATCAAATGCTCCCGGAATGACTGGTATATTTCTTCACAAGCGTTGTCAATTTTTTTAGTTAGCGTCTGCAAAACTTCTTCTGCATGGAGCCCTATCCTATTTAACTTGACTTCTATCTCTGATAACTTTTTCTGAAGGTCTTCCTCTGAAGTATCAAGTCGACAAACAAAAGTCTTAAGGTGATGAGTCATTCTCTTCAAGATGGTTTCCATCCACCTAGAATAAACATTTGACAACCTTATGATATAAAAATACAGTTTTGTTGAAAAATTGGATTCATTTCACTTGAAAACAAATAATCGTATATAAATTATGCTCATGAATAAAAAATATGTCAACATAATTACTTGTAGGTTGATGTTATTCTTTTATCTAGAGCGGAATTATAAAGTTCAAGTATTCCACCCCACAATGCTTTGTAATCAGAAGTAATGTAATTTTCATTCTGGTCCAATTCCCTCATTGCCTCCCTTGCTGAGAACTTAATAACCTGGTCAGGTTGTAGGCCAGGCCAATATTTTTCGAGACGGGACACGATGTACTGAAAGACTTCATCTCTCTCATCTTTTTTCACATTGTCCCAGTGATTACACACAAAGAGAGCAAGTCGAGGGTCAAAGTTCAAGCCATATCCATCCTTCTTCTCTTTCTGTGATGACAGAATCATTTTCAGCAATTCCCCTATCTGTCAAAATTATGTGGATTCTGATAAGAGAGGGTCATGGGAATATGTTTTAAATCGTTAAGTTTCTACAATCTACACTTATTGGATAGATTGTAGAGCTAGTAGCCGCATAATATGTTGTTTTTTTTTGTTTTTTTTTTTTGCTAAAATACGTGTCATTAAAAATGTATCAATACAATACACACCCTATCTTCATCAACCCTTTGTCCACTATCTGACTTGATGAGGTAGATGAATCCATTGATTTGGTTGGACTCCACAAAGTGTTTGATGACGCTGTCCATCTGTGGATTCTCCCCAATACCCGGAGAGTCAACCAAAACGAGGCCATTCTGCGGAAACAAAGGTCAAGGTTAGCTTGTTTTCTAGTTTTAATTCTCTTCGAAATCTGAATAAAACAAATATCTCGACTGAATAAGTTCTATGAGTTACCTGCAATCTTTCATTTGGTAGTTTCAAATGAACCTCTGAAACAGCATCCGCATCCATGCATTTTGCATCCATATTCTCTCGCTTATCAAGGTCCCTTTCAAACACCAATTCTTCAATTTGTTTTTCAACAGATTTGTCCGGATTTATAGTAATGTCTTTCGCTTTGCCACTCTCATACAAAATATGGGCGGTCAATTGTTCCCCATATGATATCCTAGTTATAACTGATGTGCACGAAATGGCCTTGACCGTCAAAAGATCCTTGCGTCCTAGTAACAAGTTCAGAAGATTCGTTTTACCCGCATTAGTTTCACCTGAAATAGAATTCAGATATGGAATAAGCCCGTGTTTAATGCAAATATGCTATTACAATTAAGCATTGATGCATTATTTTTAGAGACATTTGGTTGGAAGATAGAAAATATTGTTGGTCTTGAAAACAAGAAATATTACCGGCTACAACAACAACACAGTGTCCATGAGTTATGTGTTGAATTTTTAATCTGAGATCTTCCTCGAGGTCCTTTGTAATACCCTCTGTCTCAAGAAGAGATTCAAGAGTTGTCTTTCCTTCAATCCGTTCTTTGCCAGTAGTGGACATTCTATGAAAACTCTTGTTTGTTCGGATGAATTTGTCTAGAAGTTCCCGTAACTTTTTCCTTCTGTTTATGTCGTCACATTGCTTTTCTATGAGTAGCTTGCGAATCTTAATATAGTAAAAAAATGCAAGTAATATTTTAGATAAATAAATAAAAATGATAGAGAAGTTGAAATGATATTAAGCAAATAAATAAGAAGATAGTGCATTGAACATTAATTCATTAACATAAAACAAATTCTAGCAGTGAAATATGATCATCAATGAAAGTTTTAATTATCAGTGTTTTTGTCATTATTTTTTGTCATTATTTCAATTATAATGAGGCGGTCAACAACTACAGTGAAGATTTGTATCATAAACCTTAAGCATTCTAGATCTTTTGTACTGAGTTAAAGATCTCTTTCTTGAAGGTCATTGGAATTTTTCAGTGTTTTTTCTTCAGTTACTTGATGTTTTAATTCGCAATGTATGAGAATTACTAAAACAAAATTTCTAGGAGAAAAATCCAGCAGAGTTTAAGTAAATGAGTGTAGATTTAAATTTTCAACAAAATATCTAATCTATATTGATGTGAAATTTTCTAAGTAAGAAAACGTTTTAGAGAAATTTACTTAAAAAAAAACGGAACAGTCTGAATAACGAATAACATACTAAGTCACTTGCAGGCTGTTTTGTATTGTATGCACTCCTAAATAAATCTTTTTATTTGGCACCTTAAAAAGTATTGTGGTTGTCTTAATGTTTAAAAATAGATCGTGGCTCTAATTGGACGATGGTTCAACAAAAGCAGGTACCCGGAAGAAAAAAATAGTCTTTGAAATTCTAAAGAGTCTCTGCGGGAGATATTAAATAACTCGTGTCAGTTGCTAGTTAATTCTCCTGATAATATGGTTCGCAATTACATTGCAATATACGAATAAGCATGAATTCAAAACATGCACCATCAACCATTTCTTTAAAGATTTCATTTTTTCCCTTTTTTATTTCTTACATTCTGCTTTTGAATGTCTCCTTTTTTGTTTTCGTTTTTGTTTTTTTTCTTCACTTTTTGACAACTGGTAGGGAACTTGTAATGAAAATGCTTTGAAATCAACCAAAAATCGATTGGCTACCTATAGGATAAATGCAGGTAATAAATTATTAATAAGAGAGAAAAACTATTGCAAAAATGTGTGTTTATTGTACATAACCACTAAATAAAGATATAATGGTCAAGTTTTTTTTAAAGGAGAAACATTAATATAACCTGTTCATTGGAACATTTTACATGGTTAAAAGGAGCAAATGAAAGAAATGAAATAAAAAGCTAACGCTCATCGAGTTTATTTTAGAAAATATTTAGAAAAAAAAGATGTTGATTAAAAAAAAATTACATAGAGTACGCCACAACAATTTTGCACATGCTTAACTTGCAAAGCCATTGCTTCTTTTTTTTTTCTATGTACGACTGCGTTTTGTTTGAGGGGGGTTGGGCTTGGGTGTGAACAGCTGGTTAAATGATATTTAACTCATGTTTTATTGTAAATATCTCTTTCTCCCTCCCTCCCTGTCTTGATTAACGATGTGTTTTCGTCTCACATGTACAAAGTTTTTTTTTTGTTTTTTGTTGTTTTTTTTTTACGGAGGGCTTGTCTTTAATCCTTTTTGCTTACTGTGGAATTCTTGGCAATTTTAATATTCATGTGACAGTGTACATGATGTAATTTCTCTGCCAATGTTAAAGGCTGCGTAGTTTCGTACTCCAGTCTATTCTTTAGATATTGAATCAGTTTACAGGATTAAGTTTCCAATTCTCCTTTTCTAACCAAAGCGAAAAACCAGAAGGGAAATTCAATGTAAATTATATTTTAGAGAGTTGCTAAAATCTGCGTAGTTTTATAATCCAGCTATTCTTTGATTTCTGAAATCATATATACACATGAATATATTTACAGGATTGAATTTCCGAAAATTCCCATTTTCGTTTTCTATCCAGAAATAGACTGAAAATTCAATGTATATTCCCCATAAATTACATAACTTTATTTATACACCTAAAACAAAAGACTGAAAAAAAGGGTTACCCTGTTCTTTAGAATGTGGTCGATTTAGGTCGTCTGCATGCTGAATAGTTTATAATTGTATGAATTAAAGATAGTTTTAATCAAGTAATCATCTACAAAAACATATCCCATAGGCCTAAAAAACGCCAAAAAAAAAAATATTAACTACAAGAACAAAAACTAAAATACAAAAAATTAATGCAACTCAAAACATGAATGTTTTTAATTGAAATTCAAATTCCAAACACTGAAATGAACCAGAATAATAATATGTTATCAGACCACAATGTAGCAGCCACCTAAAAATATAAAATCCACAGTACAAAACCCGAATACAGCAGATCTACATCCACCGATTTTTTTTATTAGTCGACAAATATGTACAAATTTAAAATTTATTCATTATTGGATGATATCACTAACTATAATAACTGATAGAATTCATCTCAGCATATTGCATAATTCGTTGTTATCGAGGTATTTTATACAATTATGTCAACTGCGGAAACACAGTTTTAAAACAGTTTATTTAAGCATTGAATTCTTATTTGTGGATGCCGTGGGTCGTATAACAACACCTTGCCGTGCCGACAAATAGAATACCGCGCGTTAACGGCATTAGACAGTGATAGGCATTATCATTATGTACAATAAAAAGTAAAGAAAACTATGAAATAACATTTCGAGATAAAAAACTCCAAATGCATTGACAAAATCATGCTACATAGTTTATGTCTTAAAAAAATTTCTCCTACGTTTATCTCTACATACTGATATAAAATGATTTAAAACGATCATTATATATATATATATATATATATATATATATATATATATATATATATATATATATATATATATATATATATATATATATATATATATATATATATATATTATAGTGTATATGTGTGAGTTTCCATTTTCCTTACTACACGAAAACTCTTTAAAAAGCCAATTATCCTTCTTTAAAGGAAACCTCGATAAAGAATATGTTTGAGAAAAGGAATGTCAATCAACAATACATGTATTTCCATGCCCCCCCCCTTCACACACACACACACACCCTCCCTCGCACACAACACCATAATTCTTGTTTTTTCATATTTGGTTGTATTTCATTTTGGCGGATTTTTTAGAATGTCATTTCTTTCATTTGGAATTTTCTTCTTTCATCTTGCCGAAATATTCAGCAGGTAATGAAATAATACACAATTGCATAAAGCACCTAGAGTAATGTTCCTCCCTTCAACGTCTGAAATAATTGTTACTTTATGAAGGAGGGCACTTTCTTATGTGTCAACTTGTCTAGGCGTGTTGATATAGAATGAGTACGAGCATCTTTGACAAGCTACAATTTAACATTCTTGTGGATATCATGGAAGGAATCAGCCCAAATGAAAGCATAATCCGCCAAAATTAAAAGAACAAGCTTTTTTCTTGCAAAGTAAAAATATGGTTAAAAGAATTTTTTCACAACTGCTACTTAATGCAATAATTAGGTGTGATTATAAAAAATATTATAAATACCGTTTGAATTGGATTTTCCTGCGAATCCAGATAATCCAGATGCATGCAGATCCTATTCTGCATTTCTTCCACATCATTAAGTCCAGACATATCAACTCCAAGATCATCAGCATAGTCCATAACACTGTCCAAGTCAGCTGTAGGACTAAGAACCAAGTCTTTTGTTATACACGGCTCGCTTCCTCTTCTAGTGACCATCCATTCGTTGCGCGACCCGTCCATTCTGGAATACGGCGGTGAATGCGCCATATTTCCTCTTGAAAAGTACAACTTCAAGTTTACAACTAAGCAAAACCATATATACAATGCCTTTTATTTAAACTGCACACTGCGTGCGCAGACTTCGGAGTTTCGGGTATTTTTCTGTTTCTGAATAGGACTATTTTTAAATCGCTGGTAATGTGCATGCAGGAAGACTATTTCCTTGAACCGGGAAGAGCTTAGCGGCTGAGCAACGGACTAGCCCACCAATGTATATATAAGTATTTAAATATTAAACAGCAGAAGAGAGGCCGGTTTCATAGTTGACTGCTATCACAAAAACGTTATCTGGAAAAAAGGTGGAAAAGAGAAGAACATCATGTCGAAAGTTGAAATAACCTGTCGGGAAGACATTATTAAACTACCCGATATTGCGTCTTTGCGTGCTTTGAAAAAACAGTGGAAAGTCGAAACAGATGGACGGCCACTGAGAGATCGTGAGGACTATGTCCGCCTGCTGTTGGAGGTTTACGACTCCGGCATAAGTCCCAAAGGGGGAGGTCCGGTAAGAGACTTAATGCAAATTAGTTTTTTTTCTCATCCCTAGAATAGTTATTTGAATGCAGAAGTTAAGTCATGTTAATTTAGAAGTTAAAGTCTTTTTCTAACTCTCTAAAATTGGAAAGTGTAGGATTCTAGCAAACTAAAAGTGAAAATTATATGCAAGTGAAGTATTTCCTCTTCTGTACAACAATGCAGGCTCTTTCTCCGTCATAAACAGCAGATTTCATACGCCACCCTAGATTTTAAATGTTTTCAACATAAGTGCAAAGCTTTGAGATCCATTTTGTACCTGCACAATATTTAATGTTTGCTGAACAATGTTATTTGTCACGCTGTATTTCAGCGCATACCAAAGGGGTCGTTCTTGCATAAAGAACGACGAGTAATCAATACCCTCATACAACTCGTGTGTGCCTTTCAAACAAGGGTGTAGATTCAAATTTTCAAATAGATTTATACGTATATACCGTAATTAGAGTAAGGACTTTTACGCTATACTTCTTCGTAGTTGTTCTTCTAACAAAGCACAGATAGTGCTGATCAAAGATAACGTTTCGAAAAGAATGAATATTTAAAGTTAATACGAACCTATTATTGTCGGTGTTTAATTTTCACTAAAATGTAAACATATTTAAAGGGTCATTTTTTTTAAACAAGGACGAACCAATTTGCATATATCTGCCTGAACGGACAAGAGAATGCTTGTTCTGGTTTTAAGTTAGGACAATATTTACAAATTTCGATTTCTTTGGTGAGAGAGCATCGAAAATTCAAGCATTTAATCAAGTGCTGCTAGAACTTCGACATGCGACCATCTAAATCATGGAATTTTATTTTCAATATTTGTAATAAATCTTAAATTATGAAAGGTTCACAATTTTTCATATATTTTTGTCTACCAGATATACATCATTTTATAAAGGAAGCTTTAATTTAATTATAACAACAGAAAAGGTGTGGATTTTTGGATATTGCGTGATGCATATTTTTCCCCAAATGAAAATCTTTTAAAAATCGTGAAAATGATTTTAAAAATATAGCATTGAATGTGTAAAATGATGTACTTGAATGGGGGTTTCACATTGTAAGAATATTATGTTTAGTTCGCATTAGATTTAAAAAAAAAATGTCACGAGCACCCAGACAAGATGTAACTTAAGTCATCATGTTTTCTTTGTGTGCCTTGATCACATCAAGAATTCGATACATGTATATTATGTATCTTCATTACAGTTTACTTTTTTGTACTAAATACATGTTTTGTAGACCACTTGGTAGGACTTTCCAGGAATTCTATTTCTGGTTGAAGGTTTTACCTATGATTAAACTGAAAGAAAATGACTCATTAATGAGTTTTATATTTTCATTTTATGTAACCCCTGTCAATAATTAATTCAACTAATTCATTTCATATTTTGTGTTTCAACAAGTAATCTATAAAAATCATAGGTCAGCAAAATGATCTGTATCTTCTTTTCCACTCAAATAATCCACATCGGAATACTATTATTACCGTATTCCACTTAACATCAATATCTAAAAATCAACTCAGAACTAAATGCTTTTAAAAATGATAATTTCAATCAACCTTGAATAAAATACATGTATAATTTGTTTGAAACCAATTCTCACACTCTGCAAATCTTACAAAACATATTAGATAAACGAAGGATGAATAAGCATACATTAATATTTCAAACCATATTTCGACTAACCGACCAGAGAGAAATAAAAGTCGTTTTCCCCCTATAAATTAAGTTTTCAATAGAATCTATATATCACTTCCTAGTCTCTGAGTTTTATTTGATCAGAATGCATCAAGAAAAGTTAAATATAACAATAAATCCTAAATAATTTTGATAATTACTTAAATGGTGTTAAGATCAATTTGAAATCATTCACGTTAGAAGTATAATGGACCAAACCATCAATTGATGCGTTCACCTGCATAGTTACACAACGAAGTCAGATATGATGATGATTAAGTTTGGTAACCTCCTGTTAGCTTGAAGTTTTTTTTAAAGAGATAGGATAACCGAAAAAAACACTCCAATTTTGTTTTACTTCTAGAAATACACAGAAGTATACAGGACTTGTATTGATCATTCTGAATGGCATATTGTACATAGAGCACAAAATTTATTTATTATTTATCATAAAATATTTAGATTTCAATAGGAGATGTAAAGTCAAAATAAAAATTCTCTATATTCATTCACTCTAATGCAATAGGCTTATCGTATAAAATGTGTAAATAAAAGTTTCGATCTTAAGGTTTTGATTAACCCAAGAAGTTAACCTAATGCCATCTATATAAAAAAGTTTGCTTCCCCTCTCCCGAATCAGGATTAAAAAATAGGTATGTAGGAAGGGGAGGGGGTGTATTTAAAACCATTTGCGAATATGAAGTGAAAATAGTTATTAATTGGATGAGAAAACGTTGGAATGAATAAAAAAAATTAACTGTTTGCTGGAGGTTAAAAAAAGTTTTGAGTCGGGCTGTTTTTAGTCAGTCGGAGAGAGCAAACAAAATTTTTTAAAGATGGCCTAATAAGTAACTTTAAGTTGAACACAAATGACAACTTTTACACATTTTCTTGGATATTTGTATGTTAAAACAATCTTGGAGATTTGTATGTTAAAACAATCAAAAGCAAATTCTCAACCCCCCCCCCCCCCCAAAAAAAAAAAAAAAAAACAAACAAACAAACAAAAATAAAGAATGATCACAAAACGATACATAGATAAAAACATTATTATATTGACAATGTTCTTTATTTGTAGCCCCCACCAGACCCAAACGCCGGCCTGGCAGAAGCCATTCAGCTGGACACACAGAACAGGGCGCGATTACAGGAATTCTACGATGATGTGTTGAAGTACTATGGAAGTTTAACCCCCCAGTTTCAAAAAAGCTTGAACACTGCTTATCCTGACCTTGTGAACAGGATTGCTGGGCGGAGAAAGGAACTGGATTCTAGAGAGTTAGTGATTCTTGTGGCAGGTAATGTTGATCACATGCAGCATTATATAAAGAAAAAAAAAGGATGAGTATGTGTAATATTTTGTCTATTTGACCATTGATTTCAACTTGTTTTAGTGATTATAATCGTAAACTTGGTAGAATGAGTTTCGATTATATTGGTGGGAAATACATAGGGATTTAACTTTCACTTTTGAAACTGAGTGTCGACAATGGATTGACCATTTAAACATTTCAAAGAGAAGTTAGTGGTTGACAGATCATTCTTTTCCTCTGGGATCTACATTTCTACCATTAATAATTAAATCCTGAAAATATATATAACCAAATTATTTTAGGAAAGATATCTCAGTTACTTACTGTATTAATTAACAATTTGATAATTCCACTTTACACTTATCTACTGACAGACGTTTTTATGAATAATAATGTCATTGGGTTTTAGGTGATACAGGTGCAGGGAAATCCAGTTTCATCAACCTCCTGTTGGAAACCGACATACTTCCGGTCGCCGCCATCGCAGCGACACAAACGATATGCGAAATGCGGAAGTCAAAAAATGGCGAGAAAGTGGCAATGTGTTTTTTTAAGACTGAAGATCCTAAAAAGCGCAGACCTCCAGATATCATCAAGATCGACAATCCCGCTGGATTAGAAGAACTGAAGGAGCGTATCAAATATAGAGACGACGAAGACGATAGTCCCTTTGAACGTATAGAAATATATATGCCATTTAGAATGTTAGAGGTTCGAGCATGTTTTTGTTTTTAAATGGTCAATTTTAACTGGTGTACACAAGGATAATCTGCTCTCTTAAGTAGCATTTTCTGTGAATCATAACAATTTTTATCAGATGGAAATTTGAAATAAATTCAAGAAAATTTAGTATTATACAATACGGAGCACAATTTGAGACCATGATTGCTAAAGTTTTATTTAAAAAAAAACAACAAAAAATAGTGATTGATAATTTTGAATTTTGAGTTATCTTTCTTACGAGAGAGGGGGAATGCGCCTTAACACTTTATCTTTTTGTTTTTCAGGAAGGGGTAGTAATTGTAGATAGTCCTGGCTTTGGAGAGCATGGACGAAAAAGTGGCCAGGTTGAGCGCTATCTAGCGAAATCTTTCGGTACTATATACCTTGTTAATACCGCTGCAGCAGGGGGAGTTAATGCAGGACGAGTAAGACACCATTTACCGTTCTTACTTCACTGATTATTCAATATTATCAATTTTCATTTCATGCTTTACACGAAACTATCTAAATGATATTTTTAAAAAAGTAATTTACCTTAAAATATTTCCATCTTAAATTCTCATAATTTGGCTAAAAAAAAATAACAAGGACAGATGATACAAACAATCTTTCTTCAAAAATCAATGTATATAAAAAGAAAATGAATAAATTAAGCTGCATATATTTTAATTTTTCATTGAAAGGACAAATTAGACTAAAATCCCTTTCTGGTCTCTGGTTCTCTTAGAATAGTAAAATACATGATATTTTTTTTCATCCTTGTAACAATGTGAGTATTGATTCTATGTGATAGCATACACAGAGGTAATAGGAAGGTCACAAAATTAGTCAATTTCTGACCTTTTAAATTTTTATTCCAATTGTTATCAATTTTAAAGCACATTCTGTTTGAGAAAACATAGATACTTTATAGCTTTATGTTTTCAGAGGTAAAAAGTATCCCAGATTTGACGAAATTCTGATAGAATTTAGAAAATTCGGTAAATGTTCCACTTTGTCACCCTTTTGTGGCCTCCATGTATGCTTTGAATCAAAATAAATATCGGTTATAAAATAAGCATGAGTTCAAGATCTTAAATGCAAACTATCATAATTTTAACTGCGTTCCTATCAAATAATTGGCCAAAACTCGGCCGTTACCATTACTTGTCCTTTTCACAATTTGAACTTACAAAAATTCGGAAGTTTGAACTATGAAACAATTACTAACCAGTCTTTTTCCAAAGACATCAAAGAGTATCTTGAATATAAATCTGGACCATTTCTGCAGCTGAGAGACTTCCTCCGGTTTGTTGTGAATTCTGCTGGTGAGGATCATGACCCCTCTGCTACCATCTTTATCGGTAATAAAATAGACTGTGTGGACCCCAGAGATCTGCAAGAAGTTAAAAACACCACTACCTACAAACTCAAGCAGTGCTACCCTGGTCTAAAAGACAGCAATGTGTTCTTCATGTCAGTCAATGAAGTAAGTGACTAAAACGCGAACCAAAATTAATCAATTCATAATTATATTATTTTGACATTTTTCAAAATACATGTCGTGTTCAAGCTAATAAACCATGATAGGCCTGTTTAAACTTATCAGTCATGAATTAAGAAAATATAAAACGATTTTGAAAACTTTTGATAAAAAAATACAAGGATATTTGTATGAATAATTTGAAAGTATTTGATATGCATAACACATTACAAAATCCCCCAAAATTTCAAAAGCTGACACAAAAATATTTTAAAGTACGAACCCTGATTAACCAAATTGTCACGTGACGAAACTATCGCCAAAAATGTCTGCTTCAGTGAAGAAAGCAAACGTGTATGAGCAGTTATCAGAGTAATTAATATTTTTAATTCAGATATCAAAATGAACAGTAACAATTCTTTAACTGACCTGCATATGGTTTCCTTTGCTGATGAAAACCGGCATTCTAAAACAAAGCTGCATGTTTGCAATCGCTTTTTTGAGTGTATTTTTATGTAAATTTGAAGATTGTGTGTAAAAATATTTCTATTTCGTATTCCACTTGACAAAAAATGCGAAATATCTTTTTTTAACAAAAAAGAAGTAAATTTCAAACTATCGAAAACTGTGTCCATGTCTCTTAAGACTAAAAATACATATTGTTCAACTGTAGGCTTCTCAAATGGTAAAGCTGAAGTCAAGAAGTGCGGATCATCAGGAGGTTTTGGTGCAAGGTATACAGAAATTGTTTCCTGCAAGTCTTAGAAACAAACTGAACAGTCACTACAGGTACACAGAAGTCTTTCCTTGAACTAAACCTTGAAAGGACTAGTAGCATTAATTTCAAGTATATTGGTATTATAAATATAATTCTTTGTCAGATTTCAGTCACAGATATTGAAAAGAACTCTAGTCTCTCTTAAAGTAGCTCGAACAATGGCGCTAACAGGTAGAGAGAGACAGCAAAATGAAATCGAGGATATCCAAAGGCGAATGAGGGTCCTGGAGCAAAACGCTAAAGCAACCATAAAAAACTTGAAAACTGACATCAGGTACGAAGAGGACCATCTATATGAAGATTTAGCCTCCTCTCTGCGAAGCAGAAGTTTTACTGAAAAGGTGTTTGATATTCAAGAGAAACAATGCGCCAAACCATCAAGAGACTGGAAAGCTGTAGCACAAGATGCCAATGAAATTATTGGCAATATAATAGCCCAGGAGGTGGACAAATGGGAAGCTGAAAATAATTGCGAGTTAGGCATTAAAGCAAGGATATTGGACAAGTTCACCAAAGAGTGTCAAGTGTATGAGAACCAGCTTAAAGAAATAGAAAGTAGGTCAAACGATTAGATAAAATTGTGACATAGTCTTTTTAGAGACCTGTATACCAAATAAGAATGGACTAACTTGATTAAATAATATCCAAAAATGCAAACAATATTAATTTGTAATTGGCAACTTTAATATTTGATATGTTGTCGTAAAGTATCAGATATCAAAATGAATGAAAAGTTTTGATTTTAGAATTATAATTCTCAGGTGCACTTCTGGATGGTGACGTGAGAGTGATTAAAGATCTACACAAATCTATGAAAAAGCAAGCTCCAGTACGACAAATTTGGGCACGAGCTAAGGACACCAAATCTGGCGGTGGTGGTGGTGGTGACAAATTGAACAGTCTGGGGGCCTTGGTGAGCAGTGCAGGGGGTCTGTCAACCAGCAACAAACGGGTTAAAGATCATTGCAGAGGATACTCTGCCAAAAACCAGCTACAGGGCATGAAGTCTCTGATTTCAATTTTCATTGAAAACATTTTTGATGGAAATGACTTGAGGGTCAAAATAAGCAAATTTGTTGGAAGATTTGCAAAAGGCGTAGATACTATTGCAAAAAAGATTCCAGATTTTGTCGAGGCTGATAAGGAATTGATTAAAAATATCCAAGAAGACATCAAGAACGCAGAATACAATCTAAGAGAAGTTTTTCCCAAATGTCTTGGTGGAGGCACCAGGCTGCAAGGACAACTTGATGTTTTCTATGTTAAAAAGATAATGGAAATGGACTATCGCCTGAGGGACCTAGAATACAACCCAACGGAAGACCTGCTTGGAAGTGGAGCTTTTGCCAATGTCTATAGGGGAAAACTTGTCTGCTATCGTCCACCAATACAAGTAGCCCTAAAAATAGGAAAAGACTATTTACAAGAGAACAATGTATCTGACGTACTACTGGAGGATGGAACGATGAGGTAATTCTAATTTGTAAATTAACACATACTCATATGTGTATTTTTACCCTATATTAATTCTACTATTTAAATAGTTCATTTCATACTCATTTTTCTCATATAGTTACGCATAAGATATCTAGAATCTTTTAAAAAGGTAGAAAACATTATCAAAAAGAATGGTAAACTTGGAAAAAAGTTACAAAAAAGGTAATGAGTCGTCTTTTTTTGTCTCGTAAGAATATTTAAATGACAATAAACAGTCTGTTTGTCTATATTTGAATCACGCTTCATTACAGAGAGTTGGATCATAAGAATATTGTCAAATATTATGGCGCCACTTTGCGCGAAGAGAAAATCAAAGGAAAAGGGCGGCTATTCTGGATCATGATATTGGAATTTTGCTCAGGTACTCTAAAAGACAAAATCATTAATGACGACTATGACAATCCGGCCAAAGTCGGAAAAATCTACTCCGTTCAGGTGGAACAAATGGAAGAGATGGCTAGAATGGTGATAGAAATCTGTGAGGGTTTGCGATACTTACATAATAAAGATCTGGTTCATAGAGATCTAAAACTGGAAAATATATTGGTGAGTATTTATATTTTGTGATAGGGTATTCAGGAATTCAATATTAGAGACCGAAAATACCGTCTATCAGGTTTTAATTATTTCTGAAGTTGTTCATTTAAAGGAATTTCATTTAAAGGAATAAAATTAAAGAAGTATTCTTTTATATGTATATTATTAGATATTAAAAAAAAACGAATCGAAGGATATGTCTAAAACAATAAAAATGTTTGCAAAGAAACTGAAATTCGATGAAATTTTGCAGCTTGCAAAGGGATCAGATGGCAAAGATGTTATTAAACTCACAGATGTTGGGTTGACTAAACCACAAAGAGAGATAGGGGGAAGCATAGTCGGATCTCCTGCTTATATGGCTCCGGAAGTTCTGCTCCAAACGGAAATTCACAACCGGAAGGCAGATATATTTAGTTTGGCCATTATTCTCTGGGAGATGTGGTATGGAATTGATGCCGCGGAGCACATCCAGTCGCAGTTATTTGGAACTTTAGAAAGCGCTGTAAAGGGCGGACTTCGACCCTCAATGACAATTGAGCACAAACCTCCGGCCGACTGGATGGCTTTGATTAAGCGTTGCTGGGATTATGATCCAAAAAATCGTCCAGAAGTGGATGAAGTTTTGAATCATTTCGCTAATTTTCTGAAACACTAACTTTTTTTTTACCTTAATGCATCAAATGCTTTTTTGTTTTTGGTTCGCATGACATTCTCTTCATCAATCTGTTGATTGTAAAATTGAGAATAAAACCATGTAGTGGTAAACATTCATGGCCTCTGAGTTTGAAATTTTGTTGTAAAATAATGTTTATGTGCACAATAAAGTTTATCCAACATCTAAATGTTGATTTATGCAGCAATTTTGTTAAAATTACCCTGTATTAAAGAGTTTTGACTGTGTTAACTGGGCATTTGAACGCTTAAATATCTTGAAGACCATAAAAAACATCAATTGCAAATATTTAAGCTAAGGACAAATACTACATGTACACATAAATTGTAAGTGTAATCTAATTCGATTAGATACGCAATAGCATGTTCTGCATACGACCCCTTTTTCAATCAGAGAAAGGAAAATAAAATATCAAAAATCTCATTTAATCCAACATAGTAAATGATATGACCGTAAGAAAACTTTATTTGCAAATACGTCTTGTCCTTGGTCTTATGTTTGTCTTATGCTGACTGAATTTTCCTACAAAGTGTAGGTCATTGTTTTCATACAGATAGTCTACGGATTTACCTGATCAAGACAAAAGGAGACAGAGGATGCTTTCTGCTCCATGGCAACTGATTCCACCTTTGATGTTGCCAAGGTCCTTGATTAGCCCTGCTCTCAATTTTGTATTATGGGATTTTGAGTTTGATTTCGGATCAATTTTTTATATTTTCAAGCAAAGATCTCCATTGGCCATATAGAGATGATTTAAGTTTGTTTAAATCATAATATCTGTTTTTTGGTTTAGTTTGTTAAAAGATATATTTTGTGAAAGATATATATTCTTTGATTTTTTTTGAAGAACAGAATGGTTAACAATAATAAGTAATATTGATTCACAACCGTACCCATGTATTGTAGATTTAATTTTGGTCAAGACATTACCCTGTTATGATTATGGGGGCACTAACAGGGGGCAAAGTTTTAGATAAGGATAAATAGAGAAAATTTGTAAAAGATCCAAAGAAAAGGAAGGCTTAAAATAGTTATATTTGATATACGACCATACCAATGATGCTTAGATTTAAATTGATCAAGTCATTGCTCCTGGGAATAGGATGAGCCACCATAGGGTATCAATGTTATGCATAGTCATCTTTCAAAAAAATATTCTGAACAGCAGGTCCCATTTTACTAAAGTGAACATTTTGGCCCACAGGCTTCTTGTGAGTTTATAAATTTCAGAAAAAGCGCATATCAATCATATGATGAGACGTTATCAGTAGAAACTCAGAATCGAATTTCAGTATCTTTTTAGCCCTGCTGTAAGATTTTCGTCTATGGTGGCTTTATATGTGATAATCTATAGTTGACGAAATTTTCTTTTCTTAAAAATAAGAACTCACTTTTCCAAAATTACTGCTTTCAAAAGCGAAAGTTTTTTTGCAGCAGTATCTCGTAAAAGAACGAAGTATACTTTTTTCCTGCATTTTTTTTTTTTTTTTATAATTCTAGTTGATGAAAATAATAATTTCCTATTTACAAAAGGAGTAATGAGTTTTAAATAATATTGTACAGAGGTCATTTACCCGGAAAAAAAAAAGAAACACTCAAATGTGTCTTTCTTTTAATTTATACGAATTTTAAGAAGAAAATGCACATATAGACGTTGGTTAAAACACATAGCAACACTTATATGTACATATTATAGTTACATGTATGGTTTAATTTTCTTTTTAAATTAATTTTTAATTATTGCAAATCAGTTCTTTATTCACATCAGGAGAATGACTCAGTTTACTTCAAACAAGAATTAAAAAAACAAAACAAAAACAGAACAAGTACTTACATTTGATGATTTTCAGCTATCTTTTGATACAGTTATGTATGATGCATTATCCCTGTCTCTGAACATAATGATCATTTGATAAGAAATGAATGAATTTGTCCAATTTGTATAGTATTTTTTTTTACTTAATTCCAGTTTCAGTATAGTTTCGAAAATGGGAAATTATTGAACTCTATAACTATATTCTTCTGCATAATTTCATTACTTCTATCTTGTACTGTACATCGGTATGAAAGTAAACGAATGGATTCAAATCCCATTAATAACTACAATATCTGGCAGATATTCTTCAAAGATATCTTCCATTTTGTAAATTTTTTGCCGTGGATAGAAATATCTTTTGATGGCTTGGATAGTCTGACACAAGGTGATTGTAACGAAACAAGCAACCAAGAAAACGGTTACAAAAGCAAATGTTATTGCTATCGGTATATTCCTTTCTGCCTCTAGGCTTGTTGATGCTGACTCGGTTTGATTAGCCTTTTCTTTTTGAACTTTCTTTTCATTTGGTGTTCTAGTGCCGCAACCTATTTGTATCTTCCGGAAATTTAGAGTTTCAGTCTTGTGTTAAATTTGCCTTTTGTTTTGGCTTTCTTAACAAGAACATTTCACATGTTCGTTTGAAATACTACCAGTATGATATTCATGAATGCATGAACAAATATAAAAGCATAAAACAGGAAAGTTAAATATTTCCCATCAGTTTTGTTTTCTATATTGCAATTTTGTGCAAACTGAATATTTACTATCTAAGGATGCTTGAATATTATATTATATTACATTCATGGCTCTGTTGTTCTTGAGAAGATTTTTAAAGATTTTTTTCTCTCATTCATTACCTGTAAAACTTTGATCCCTTATTATGGCCCCACCTTATTTTCATGATTTGAACAAAGTTGAGTCTTACACTATATGAGGATGCTTGTATTTTAATATCACTTCTCATAATCAGGACTTTGCTGTTCTAAGAAAAAAACTTTTTTCCGATAAAGTCCAATATTAAAGTTTTACATCGGATAATGGAAAATCGCTAGTGATGTCACATAAGGTTAAAAACAAAATCGTGCTAAAACTGGTTCATTATCTTGTTCAAATGACTGAATGTTAATAGGGAAAGTTCAAAATATAAGTAGCTTAATAGGTAAGTATAAGTTGTTGATATTAGAAAAAAAACCATTTTACAATAGATGTATAATGAAGAAAATATATGAATGAATAGAAAAACCTATTGCCTTTTACACAAATTCTATAGAAGATTTGATTTAAATTCTTTTCCTAAGCCATTTTTTATTGCTTCTGTAAATATATTTCTTAATTAATAAGATATTTATTTAAAAAAAACTACTTGTATGATGTCACATAGAGATGGGATTACTTTAACAATTATAGACTAACGCTCTCATTTGAGGCAAAGTGATTTTTGAAAAAAATTAAAGGATTTTTTCCCCTTTTTATTCCAATGTAAAACTTTGATCCCCTATTGTGGCCCCATCATATGCTTGCGGCCATTATTTTGACAAATAAAAAAAAAATACACAATATTCGAAATATTTTATGTGTCTCATTTTTCCTGCCTCGGGGCTTCTTGAGAAGAGGATTTTTAAATTTTTTTTCTCCTATTTATTGCAATGTAAAACTTTGTCCACCTACTGTGGCCCCATGCATCAAAGGGAACTTATTCAAATAAACTGAGAACTAACACTCTGTCAGGACGCTTTCATATGCATGTTTCATCTTTTCTAACCATGGCTTATCGGAAAAAATTAAAGATTTATTTTTACTATTACAATCCCCTATTGAGGCTCCACTCTATCCAAGGGGCGATAATCATCAAACTTTTTCAGGATATTTTCACTAAGTTAAGTTTTTTCTTCGCTGTGTGGTTTTTGAGAGTTTTTAATGATCCCTCTCTATTTTGTGTATATTTCTTTATTATCTCCCTTTGGAACAGGCCATGGACATTAATTTGAAAGTTTTAAATTTCTGTCAGCCAAGGATGATTTGCAACATGATTAGTTGAAATTGGGCCTTGTATCCTAGAGAAGAAGTCAAAAATGTGTAAAACGTCCAGCTGGACAGACAGAAAGACGGAAGCTGGACAAAATCTGATCAGAAAATGTCATGTGAACTTACAACTTAGCAAAGCTAAAAATAAAATCAACATGAAACGAAATGTTTTGCTTAAAATTAGACAGGACATATATGTCCCAATGTGTACATGTATCATACAGTGTTATATCCTAGAACATGACGATAGTATTTAAGTACAAGATTCTCATGATCACAGCTTTATATTGGATAATGAAATTCTACTTTTGGGGGAAGAATTAGGGAAAAAACTGTCCACGGACTCTGGTCTCGAGTTTCGTGTAATTATCAAGTTCCTGAAATGCACTCCCGTGCACCCACAATAGACCTGGTAACCATGATCTTTGTAACTGTAGACTATAAAAAGATTGATTGATTGTATGTTGTTTTACGTCCAGTTCGATAATTTTTCACTCATATAGAGACGTTACCATATACCGGTGAAGGGCTTCTAATTTAGACCTTTACTCGACACTCAAGGCCATAAAGCAGTGAGGGTTCTTTATCGTTCCAACGCCTACCGTTACACGGGGTCTCAATTTTTAAGGTCTCATCAGAAGGATCCGGAACTTTCACTTCAAAGTGCTGAGCGCTTAGTGAAAGAACAGTTGCTACCTATTTTTTATCGACTTAGGTCAGTCGCAGCCGTGATTCGAACACACAACCTTCCAATCATGGAGCAAGCGCTCTACTGACTGAGCTACTGTGACGGTAACTACGAAAAGAAAAGAAACGAAAAGAATTGAAAAGAAAAGTACCCCCCCCCCCCAAAAAAAAAAGAGAAAACGAAAAAGAGATGTTTACCTATTATTTATAAAAATAATAGTACTGAATTTATATTATCGATATTACGGGTCATTTGAAAAACACTTAACATACATATCATATTGCAACATCCTAATGTTTGTGTATTCAAGTTAATTTACCTCACGTTTTTGTTTTCGTTTATTTTTGTGTTGTTTATTTCTTTTTGTTCATTTTCTTTTCTTTTTGTATTTAACAGGTACATCCATTATTGAAAAAAAAAATCATAAATATTTCGTAATCTTACATATCCTTTTCTGATGATTTTAACTTCAATCTATTATACATGGGGATGATTGCATAGTTATATAACTTATCGTGGTATTTGAGATGATTTTCCATTTATGTTTCTTTTTTATAAGTTCAGTCCATTAAAGTCTTTTCCAAGCCTATCCCAAACTTTGAAACTAATCTACTAAAGAATACTTTGCTAAGAATAGATG